GCGCGTTTACGGTTCCATCGCAAGCAACGATAATAGACGTTAGCGGTCAGCAGCAATGATAAGGCCCCAGTGTTCTTATCGAGCATTTCCATGAGAACATCCACTCACCTCTATAAACAGCTCTTCCTATTCATGAAAGGGATAAATCCATTTGAACACTGAAGTTGAGTTCATGGCGAATCCAAACAGGGATCATCAACGCAAAATCTTTGGCTATCTAGACTACTCATCACTGATATGAAATGTTCCACATAAAGTAGGAGTCTCAAGGTTTCAGCTTTTATCCGTTGATCGAGTACCTTATCTATTTTTTATCTCCTTAATAGTAATTTTCGAGAATTCGAGCTATTTTTTTGATATTTAAGTTCCCTTGATGAGCGATCCATGTGGCAATACAATCAGCTTGATATTTCAGATTTGGAATGGTTTAGCGAGGAGCAGATCGAGACGAGCTGTGACTAGCCATCGGCTTTATTCAAATTACAATCCTTTCAATTTGATGTTGTTTCAATGATTTTTATTATAATTCTATAATTATAATTAATTTATTGAGAATATTTAAAATGAATAATAACAACTGTTGGCAGAGCTCATGACAAGGGGTCATCGCGTGATGACGATGTTATCGTAGGGCTTGTTTCGGGGACTGCTGCCTTTTGAGACGACCGCATATATGACGATACCCCAGACTACGATCGCTAGCACTGCCACCAGCAACCATAACGCCCACCACGCTCGTCGATACGCGCTCAGCTGAAAAGACCCATGAATTTACTGGCTTTCACTCGGAAACGGTGAAATTCACATGATAAGAAACTGACCTGAACTCTTTCTTCATTGGTTAAGTCAGCATCTGGATCAACTGGGACCTCTCCTTCGTGAGCGGCGTGTCGACTAATCAGCTCTGCCTCAACATTCCAGAATTTAGGATGAGGCCAGTGAAGTTCCCCTTGGATGATCCTGCAAGGTGACCGCGTAAAGTTACTCCTGAATTACGCATTAGGTAATCGTTATTTGATGACTCACTTCGGTGGGAGGTTGATGGAGACATGCTCGGTAGATTTGTTACCGCCGAACGGTGGCCATTTGAACCTGTAAGTGTTAGCTCTTCAACAAGCCAATGTCCTTCATGAAACAGATTTGTTCCGTACTCACCGTGTTGTTGAAGGGTCACCAGTTTTTGCGAAATTGGTGATCATGTTTGTGAGGATTTTTGCCATGTTCTCGTCCTCCTTTGTGAAGGGCCGGATCTCGAAATTGCTACTATATCCTTTAGAGAAAATGAATGCGTGATCCAAACCGTGGAATGCTTCCAATTTACGATCTATAAAAGAAGAGTAGTCGAATAACATATTTCTTTTTGTAGGCATTTGAGAAGTTATGAGTTTTCAATAATAACTTAGTTAAAAGCGGCGGTCGCGATGTTTGGTTCTGATGAAAGCTGAAGGTAGGGGTGCCAAGAGTTTTGTCGATGAAGAAGGAACCAGGGGGTACCCGACAGGAGGCCCGTCGCGCGACAAGAAGGCAGAGTCAGCGGACGAGTCGCAGCGCGTACTGTAGTGATTTCGCGTCAAGTTGTAGAATGTAGCCATTGTACGTCCTACATCGCACATCACGCGCTGCGACTCGTCCGCTGACTCTGCCTTCTTGCCGCGCGACGGGCCTCCTCGGATACCCAGTATAGGTGAATGGACAAGAACCCAATAAGTGAACCGCTTTATGCTCCTTGACTTTACATATGAATACTTAAAGGACGAATTCACGCTGGAAAGGCAACCCATTTCAAATTAAGTTAGCGATGGTGAGTGGTACACTAAAGAAGGAAAAACCATGCGAAACGGCCCAGAACCTGAGAAATGGGACCACTTCCTTGCCCGTTGATTTGAGCATTGATGCGACTATCATCGCTGTGCCCTCTTCAACGCTACGCTCTCTCACCTATCTAATCACTCACCGTACGTATAGACGCTTGACGAGATGATCAGTTAAGGAAGACAAGATAATAAGTTAAGGAACATAGGATGTATACCGTAACCCACGTTTGCGTCAGAGCGCGGTTGCAGGCTTTCCAGTGCACAATGCCAGCACTAGTGTGAGAGCGGTCAACGACGCCGCCCCTGCTGTTCGGGGCAGCGAACCCAAAAATGGAGCGACGTCGCAGCGTTCGCCTCGCCGCTTGCGCGACGAAGCCGAACACCGTCGCAGCGTTGGCCTCGCCGCTTGCGCGACGAAGCCGAACACCGTCGCAGCGTCCGGCTCGCCGCCCGCGCGATGGGGCCGAACACCCGCGACGAAGCCGAACGGCCGTCGCGGCGTCCGGAGCGCCGCTTGCGGCGCGACGAAGCCAAGCACCGTCGCAGCGTTCGCCTCGCCGCTTGCTCGCCGCGCGCGCGCGAGGCTGAACGCTGCGCGCGCTCCGCGCGCGAGCACAGGGAGGTGATCCCCGGGGTGCCGCCCATCCGACGTGTGGCGACAACCGCTCGCGTTGTGTCCTCCACCTTCTACATAAACGGCGCATAGTACTCTGCGCGGGCCTGCTCGACGCATTCTCTCTTCGTTGAGAGGGTGCAGAGAAGACGAGAAAATCGATGACACGTGAGAATGCGCGCCCCAGTGCAACGTCGAGAAGGTTACGGTATACACCCTATGTTCCTGAACTTATAATCTTGTATAGACCTGCGGCGAGTGATCAGATGATCGGTGGGCGTGCACTGACCAGCCGCGGCGGGATTAAACCTTAATAGGTCAACGAGGTCAACTCCTCCTGTGCAAATTGTGCTTCAGTTCGCACACTTAGGAGCTCCGCGGGTCCCTCAACCAGGTGAATTCTTCCTAATTCGATTTTCCCTCTGATCGTGAATTCGTCCTTTAAAGGTAGCGGTGGCCCTGGAAGAGATTGGGATTGTTTTAAGGACGTTGTTGGTTGCTACGAAAACCGCTCTGCAAATCGAATGATAACGAGAACCTTGTCATATCAAGCATGCTGCTGTTATCATATCTCCCACACCTGTAGTGATGGGGGGGGGAGTCGAGCTGAAGGGAGAACGCGTTGGAGGAAGGTCTTTGATGCTTTATCATGCCTTTGGTAACAAGTCTCTACCACACAAAGTCGCCTGTCATCTCTTTCGGATAAGTGTTTACCCTCTCCACTGTGATCTTTCCCTTTTATAAACACTGAAATTATCGCGATAGCTGTCTTTAATCTCCAATGGGGTTCTTTTTCGCTTTTTGGTGCGATGGGTGCTATTTTGCCGTCGCCCCCACCTCACATCTGTGGACTTTGTGTAAAGAATGAACAAAAACATAGAACGCAGTAATTTCAGTAATCTGTGAGACGTTAATAATTTTGATACCCAAAATATACAAAAAAAAGTTACGACGAACGGATGGTAGGCAATTATCAGCTAGCACCTCATGGTCTGCCAGCCACGGACGTGAATGTATAAAGTCCCCTGAGAAGCGAGAAGAGTTACTGCTTTTCATTAGAGAAATACCCATCCTGGTGATTCTAGAGAAGAGTAACTTATTTGTAAAGTGAACAAATGGTGTCCATATTCCAGCACAAGATGGGAGGGAATTGAATCAAACGCTGACGTCTTCAACTAGACCGCTGCATAAAGGCAAGCTCTGGGATGAAACCGGTGATAAGAGCGCTTCGTAATGATGACTGAGCTGCGGGACGGCCTGAAAGTGGAAAGGAAAGCTAGAGAAATCTTTGGGATCGCTGAAATTAAGGCCTTAACCTTCAAAAAGGTCGGATGTGGAACGATGGCGAGGCAGGGCGGTCAAAGAAGACAAAACACGCGAGAGATCACGCCGTTCGAGAGAGCACGCCGATATCGAGGTGGGTGGGAAGCGTTGCAACGGGGGTCGATGGTTGCAGGCCCGTAAGGATTAGCGCCCTAACCGCGCAACTTTTGCGGCGAAGCTGGAGTGATCTAGGTAGGTAGGGACCTTACAATTTCCCTCGCGGTATCCTTCCCACAAGTCGGGCTAATCCCGGGGTTTGCCTTTATGTCGCTATTTTTGTTCATCATCTCGAAAAAGCGTTCCATGTTAACAGGCCTGCGTTCTCTCGTTTGCCTATGAAACATAATACAATCAGAGGGTGATGCTTGTAGGCATGACATCGGCTATCGCGATTAACGACCAGCTCGTGTTGACCACTACCCGTTCGAAGCGTAAATCAACGGGAAAGGGGTCCCATATCTCGGGTCTTATGTTAGGCCGATTTCTCTCGGACATCTCTTGGACAGGGCACACTATCGCCTCTTTTGGGTTTACTTTCAATGAGCAGACGTCGAATCGCACGCAGGTAACTCATCGTTAACGAGTACCGATGATCTACACCTTGGAACTGTGCTTTTGCCGGACGGGAAGCGGTCTGAAGGGGGAGGGGGAGGGAGGGGAGAGATAAAAGCGTTGTTACATTGAATGAAATAAAATCATTAGCTCACCCTTTAGTGTTTGGTCTTTCCGTGTTATGGTGACGGGTTCATTCCCGAACAAGCTGAACATTTTCTTCTCCTGAAACAAATTTCAGCAACGGTGACTAAACGTTTTCAGGAAACGGATGCTCTACCAACCACTTCGAAAATGGGGCTCTTCGGCACATAGTCAAACGAATAAGCGAAGACTGTGACGTTGTTTTGTATGTAAGCGTCAATTTCCCTCTGACATGGCGCCACGAATTCAATGTCTGCCTCCATCTATAAGCAAAAAGACCACTGGGCTATACGTCGTTGAGGGACTGATTTCAAAACTGACCGTTTGTAAGGCAGAGATCACTCGGCTCGTCTCAAACGTGTTCGACGGATCATCGATATACCTACAATGTATAGATCTATTGGGTTGTCCAGAAAATCCTGCGACACTTTGTCCAAGATTTTTGACTGTACCTTTTTTTGTTGAATGGGATATTCAATCAGCACGGTTATCACCGGTAGCATATAGGAGACGTGTACTTTTTCTGGGCAACTTCTCAACCCTCTTACTTTAGAAATCCGGCGTTTGCTTTGAAAAGAAGCGCTTCATCCAATTTTCGAGGTGACCTCAATCATTGGATTTTTTCTCTTCGAGGTAGCGCTTCAGTGTACTAATTACGCAATATTTAGAAACGACTAAGTCAGGCGAGTAAGCCAAGCACTGCAGAATTTCCCGATCAAAATCCACGATCTCTCATGTGTAATCCTTCGCCACATACAGATACGGGTTAGGGTGGGGTAACACCGTATCGAGAATTTCTGCGTGATTTGACGCATGGCTTCGGCCAAATTTCGAAGGTTGTTAAGCCGACAATGGTCGATACCCTGGTGCAGGTATCCAGCAGCTTTCTGTAGCGAATCAGTTTGCAACCTCATCAGAAACACTAAAAAGTCCTTCTTGACGAAGGCCTGCTTTCGTTCCTGCGGGTAGCTTTCCTCCTTGTCGAATCCAGTAGTGCTTATGTGTATAGTTTAGTCAAGGCCAGAGCTATCTTCATTAGCCATCATTTTTGTCAAGAGATTCCTTTGATGCGAAAGAAGAAGAGAAATCTGAATCATGGTCACACGGTTCGCCTCCCCAGACTGGCGCAACCCATGTGGTGTCAATGGCGAACATACTGATCTGTAACCGAGATCGTGCAGATCCTCGACAATTGTCGAATGAATGCACATAAGCGTTGTTGTTAACCTACTACTGGTACCAACCGGCTGCGCCTCTTGGAAGTTGAGTAAACGCTTGTCAGTCATCGTCTACTGCCGTCCAGCTCCGTGCCCCATTTCGAACAAAATATCTCCAGTTGCGAGGGAACAAGGCCAACGGGACACCATGGCCTAGTGAATGACATCCCTCCTGACTACAGCACAGATGCTAGCTGCAAGGACACAAACGGGTGGCTTTACAGGAGCTCGAAAAATAAAATAGGTCAAAAGATGTGTTGATTCAGAGACAAGTTTGAAACAGTTAAACGCCGCACGTAGCCTCCATTTACGCTTCTGCCGAAACCTCCGAAGATACACTGCAGCAATCAAATACCAAAACTACTGGAAAGAGTTTTGGTCTTTTCCTAAAGAACTTTGTTTAAAGTGTCGCAGGATTTTCTGGACATAACCAATACGTATAATGTATGCATATTTTCCCCACACGAAAACATTTTGGAGCGAATTGGTGATAATTTCACGAGAAAGCTATTCATTACAACACTTGGTTTTACTCAAAAAATCATACCCCTTGGGCTAGTCAGAAACAATATGCTCACTTTAGATCCATTACATCTGAGGCTGGGAAGGAGTGACATTGTGGCATTTTAGAGGTTTTCAAAATTCTCAATAAGCTTCTTCACATAAACAGCTATGTATTTTACAAACTGGTACCATCCCGGACTAGAGGCGGTAAACTCAAACAGTCAAACATTTTTAACGTTCTGTGCTCCTACGGAGTACCTGACAATGAGCAGAATGGTGCAAATGCCGGCCGCACTGGCCAGTTCCAAAAAAAGCGGTTTCTCCTTACTTACATGTGGTCAAATTCTTTTCTCACTGTTTTATATTAGTGCTAGTCTCCTGTATTTTTTACGCTTTGATTTTTCGTTCCATTTATTTCCTCTGAACGTCATTACTTTCAATTTACGTGCGTTGTGCGTAATAAATCAAATCATACATCCAAAGAAACCCGTGAGCCTGGTTGAACTAGAGTGAATGAAATACAAAATCCTATATTTCGGGGTGTTTGTGGGGCCATCCTGATTCAAGGAAACCCATTTGCTGTCATACATCCTTCTTCTCTATTATTAAACAGTTAGGTCTATGACTGAATGCTACGAAGATTTCCCCTCAATAATAAAGTGCGATTGGTGATAACCCATTTTTCTATTACGTCTCGTGGGCGACAGCTTCCTTGATAAGCATTTTCGCTCACGATTACCCATGCTCTCTGGTTTCCCAGGTTAGTAAAAATATGGGAGAAATATTGTGAATGAGAGCAAGAGGTGCTTGTTCAATGTTCAACTGTTCGATGAGTGACGTTTTCATTTGCACCCATTTGAAAATTGCGGAATGTCCAATAATTGGAAAGAGATTGGTAAAAATACAAAGACAATAGCAAGGAAAATCACAAGGATTTAAAGAAGAGAATATCAATTTTTGATCCGGCATTGATGTGGATTTTCATATTTTCCATCTCCAATTTTTGGTTATCAAAAAAAGCAACAAATCATTTTCCCCACTTGGTTTCATGTGTGCTGTGTAAATTTGAGACAATCCCGTTCTTGAGAGGCCATAAATTTTACGAAAAACAAGTTTCCAAACCTCCGGCTACAGTACTTTGATACTCACCGAACGAAAGATGCATTTGCGACGAGGTGCAAAGTGGCGTTGTTGAGCTTGACGGGAGACGTGTCGTGAAAAGAACCTTCAACGATCCGAAACACGCTCTCTCCAGCCTCATCAGCGGTCAGGGACGATTTTCGATGCAGGTTGTAGAACTGAGCTTGAAATAGGTGCCATCAGATGATGAAACCACACCGAACACCATCAATGAGAGGTACTCACGTTTCTTATGTCCCCATTCCTTTCGTGCCACACCGGTCATGATTGGGATCCGTGCGTAGTTTCGTACAAGGTCCAGGCCTGAGGTCGGTACTAGATCTCCATCTACCACTATTTTTGAAACTCCTAACTGTATTGTAAAGATTATTAAGAATATTTAGTGCAGTGTTCAAAAGAAGAGCATGACTTGCCTCGAACGCGAGTGCTTTGCGGAATAGGGGAGAACTGAAGTTGAGGCTTTTGCGAAGGCAACTCATTTGCTCTTCTGGGGTTTGGTCATCCTGAAAACGGCCTCAATGAGGGGAATCTTCATAAGTTTATCACGAAGAAACGTGTATTTCTCTTACTGAAGAGGTGGTCTGGTGGATACATTGGCCCCGGCACTGTCCAATTTAAACGCCATTTTGCTTCATATCTTTGGACGTTTACTTCAAATCAGGGTCAACCTTCTGTTGTGTCAAGTTCAATGAGGGAGTCGTTCAAGAGGTTTTCAAGAAAGCGTGCTTGTGAAAATGAGATGTGGCAGTAGAGAGTAGAGGAAATCATTTTTGATATTCTCCATCTTAATTTTCACGGAAGTACGCATGAAGGGGTTTAATTAAAGCATTTGTCAGTCCTCTGATCATACATACTGATTCCCTGCTCTATGGCGGTTTGCAAGAGATTTTCGGGCGCAGCTGGAGTGTCTTAGCCTTCTCAGAATGAAGGGATTTCGAAACAGCCATGGTGGTGATGTTGAGGGGGATCGCGTGGGAGAACCCTTCAAAAAGGAACGCGGTGAAAATTCCTGAATAGGTATTACAGATGGCTGACCCTGCTACCATCTATTGATGTTCATGCCCCTGAACTTTCTCAAAAGTATCACCGACGCTTTCATGAAAGCATACCCACGTGAAGGACCAGATGATAAGCATCCAGTTGAAAGGGTCGTTATGACTGCTATTAAAGCTCTATGGTTCTGACTGCTCACCGTCAGGCAAGGCACCAGCTCGTTCTGATAATTGCACTTCTTTTGCTCCAACTCTTCGGCTTTGTACTCATCGCCGACCACTTCCGAAGCGTATTCTGCACCACTGATCAGTCTTTCACATCTGAAAGTATTCGGCTTGATTTTCAATTGCGTGGAAAGATCTCTCATCGAAGTAAGGTAGTATTTTACTTGGGATGGTAAGAAAGTCCTGAGCCGATTTTTCGAAAGCTCCAGAACTTTCGCTTATTGATCGATACCTAGAATCTGCTACGTGATAGATTATCGCTGTCGATCATACTTCTCCGCAGTAGGTATATATTGCCGGGTTGCCTTCTTTAACTTTAATCATGATGTCGATTCCACAAGAGCACTTTCGAGCGATCATCTTCAATGAATGGCGCTGCGGCACAGGAGCAGTGGAAACCGTCAACATTATCAGCATCGCATTGGGAAGGGACACCACTTCCATCATCAGTGCCAAGCTCTGGTTCGCAGGCTTCGAAGGAGGAGACACGGCTTCCGAAGACAAGTCAAGGTTGGGAAGCCCCCAAACAGTGGAAGACTCCACCGTTCTCGGCGCTGTCGAAGAGGATCCGGAGGTTAGCACCCGCAGCCTTGTGATAAGACTCGGGTGCACCCATCCCACAGTCCTCGGTCCCCTCCACGCCCTCGCCACAGGAAAGTGCCGACTCGATGGATCCCTCATGTCTTGACCGATAGCACGCGGTTCAGGCGGGTACCCATTTGTCAGTTTCTCCTTCTTTGTCCGCACCGAAAGGAGTTTTTGGAAGGCATGATTACGAGAGATGAGAGTTGGGTCCTCTACGATTCTAACAAGCACAGTGCCGTGTGGCTCCCTCGAGGAGAAGACCCGCCGACACAAGCAAAATCGGACCTTCACCCCAAAAGCTGTCTTCTTTGCTGCCTCTGGGATTCGCGAGGAATGTTGTATTATGAGCTGCTCCCGCAAGGGCATACCGCTACCGGCAGCATTTACGCCAGTCAGCTCCAGAAACTAGCGGACGCTGTTCGAGAAAAACGACCGAGACGAACTTCTGTCCACCTACTCCACGATGACGCCAGGCCCCACATAGCTAAAGAGACCCGTGCAAAATTGGAAGAGCTGATCTGGGACGCGGTTCCCACCCACCCTATTCCCCTGACATTGCCCTCTCTGATTATCACTTACTTTCATCCCCTCAAGGCATTCCTAGCGAAGAAAAAATTCACCAAAGTTGAAGACGTTGAAAGAGCGGTCAGCGATTTCTTTGACTCTCAGTCTGCTCAGTTCTGGGAGAAGGGGGTCGCTGACCTGCCCATTAGGTGGGACTCTGTAGTGAGTAACAATGGTGATTATATTGTTGAGTAGATTCCATTGTACGCGGAATAAAAAAGTAAAGCAAAAAAAGTGTCAAACGGCTCAGGACTTTCTTACCATCCTAATACTACAGTTCCAAGCAACGACAACTGATCTTAAGAAAATGGAACAACCGTGCTCCTTTTCAATCCGGAGCTGATAAACTCCAAACCCACGATCTTTTGGTGGAGGAAACTGAGAATTTCAAGGAAGCAGTGTATGTCATATCCATAGGCATCACTCATAATACTTTTTTCAAGATGCAACCTGAAGCGGCCTGGAACTCGCGGCGATTTTTAAGACGACCGATTGTGCCGCAGCGATATATCATAAATTCTTTTGCATACAGTGTTCCAAGTGAATTGTTATCAATTATCTTAAAGCTCGACAGAAGAAGTCCATTCAATTTTAGTTATGTTTAGGAATAGTTTTATAAAATCGACATCTAGGTTTTTGCATACGACAGAATATGTTACAGAGATATGCAATAACTAAAACTTGTCGAAGAAATTCTTGGAAAAATCAGCTCTTGGAGTTCCTGACGACCCATGGGTGTCAGACGCCCCAGAGAGCAAAGGCCGGAATGTATTAAAGGCAGTCGCTGCCGCCCTTAATTAGAGCACAATTCCTGCGCATACTGTTCTTCGTGAGGGTGAGTGCATCCCCCCCACCCGACAGCGTGCCTTAGTACCCCCTCGCCCCGCCCCACCATGTGCCCCCCCCCTCCCCCCCCCACGTCCCCCCCCCCCCACTCCCTACCCTTCCTCGAAAATGAGGGCAGATGTAATGAATGAAATGAATTGGTGTGAGTATCAAAGTGAAGGGAGATAGCAAACTGGCTCACAAAAAATGAACGTATGAAGGAGTCGTCAGGAGTTCTGCTCAATGGCCGTCCATTCTTTTGATGAGGTGATGAGCAGGATCAACTGTCCGTTGGACAAAGTCCACCGAGGGGAATCGCCTATGCCATCGAAGGGGGGGGGGGGTCGTATTCGCAAAGGTCAACGTCGCAATACGTAAGTGAGAGGCATAACTTTCGAGTGCTTCTCCAACTATTAACCACAAACGAGTGCATGGCGCACCTCAGAGTGAAGAGTCTACTGCAGAAGTGTCCATATTTGACTGTTCACGTACACAAATATGCTCTCGAGAGAACCAATGTCTTCAAACTGGGCTTAAGTTAGTAAAAGAGTGACCACTTGGGTAGACTGACTGTTAAAGGCTTACAAGAAAAGTTTGGAAAAATTTATTTGCCTGTTGGCGACTTCCTGAAAAGGGTTTAGTATTTGTTATGAAGCACAAAGCTTGTGCGATGTCATGGTATCATTATTCCCCATAAAATTGAGTTTGAAGAGAGCTGTTAGTGTTTGACTGTTGAAACTTGTGTTTTCAGGAGAGCAGCTCCGAAAATGCATGAAAAAAAAAACGGTCAACGGGGCGATTTTTCGAACGGGTCATTTTGAAAACGAGATCAAGTATTCATTGGAAAGCACTAATCTTCTAGTTTCTTCCAGGGGACAAGAGTTGCAAAAAGTTGTATACGAAAGAAAGTTATACAGTTCAAAGCCAAAAAACCAGCGCTCTGCGAAAAATCGGTCCGCGATTTCCCCAAAACGGTCCAACGGGGCGATTTTTTTGACTCCATCAATTTCGGAAAGAATCAAAGTATTCGTTGAAAAGCTCAAACCTTCTAGTTTTCAAACCCCAGGGGGACAAGATTCGCTAAAGGTTAATTCTAAGGAAGTTGTGGTCACTGGACAGCCAAAAAACGCGGTCTGGAGAATACAACGGTCGAAACGGGGCAATTTTCTTGTAGAAAGACGAATTGGCAAAAAAGTTAAAGTTTTTAAAAAGACAACAATCTGGACTTTCAGAATTTTCATACCACTCTCTCATTTTCACGCTTGAAGAAATTACAACCCTTCAAACGAAGAAGTGCGCATTTCTGTGAATTTTTGTTTCTCTATCCCATAACTAACACAGTTTTGAAGATACTGTACAAAAGTGGTAGTTTGCTGAAACTAGCGGTCTCGTAGATTACAAATCTCCTTAGTGTTCTGAAAAATGTTGACGTTGAACAGAAATACACTTAAATGAAAATTAGTAGTCTGCCTCGATCCATCCGGCGCTGGGCCGAGGGGAAGATTTTGCGCGCCAATGCGAACACGATGCCACCGCGCTCAATCTAGTAGCGCTTGATGTAGGGTGTTGTGACATCTAATCCTTTTGCTCCTCTGCGTCTCCTTCACAAGGCCAGACACCAGACACTAAGGCCCAAACTTTTGCCACAGGTTAAGTGGCTCACACACCCCCCACCCCCTGAATTGGCCCCATTCCCCCTGGCTCACGCATTCTTACTTACTACCAGGTTCCCGCCACACCAAAAGGATTAGATGTCATACAACCTTTGATGTAGTAGTACGAAGTAGTACGCAAACACACACAAATACCAAGTGTACAGTACATAATAAGTGTTTGGGGGGGGGGTCGTATCGAGACTCGCTAAAAGGAGGGGGGTCGTAAAATTTTCAAAATTGGTCCAACGTGACGGTTGACCCTGGTGATGAGAACCCCAGCAATAAGAAGGGCGCTGATGGTTGCTTCCTTCTACAGTGGTGGTCGAAAGTCTTTGGCGAAGCGGTTTTCGTGAGTTAATTTCTTTCATCCAAGTTTCTTTCAAACATTGATGAGCTGTGCGTAATGGTCATTTCGCACTCCTTGAGTCCCAGCATTCAGGGCACAAAAGAAAAAAGTACATAATCTTGCAGACCTTTTGAAGAGAAGCATTTAGAATGCAGGAAAAACCGTTTGTCTCTGTGAACATTTTCAAAGGCAAGCCCCGGGATAAAGTGGGGGTGAAGGAGCGTTGGTAATGGAACTGGAGCGGGAAGGGGTCTGAAAAGAAACGCAAAAGAAGCTCCCGTTCACGCTCAGAACAAGGCCCCTTTTTTCAGCCGAAGGAAGAGACGCATACCGTAGCGGTTAGGCGTCAGGTTGAATAGAGTGTACCATACTACGTCTCATATCGCACAGCACGCGCTGCGACTCGTCCTTTGCCGCATCTGCGTCTCTTCCTTCGCCGCGCGATGGGCCTCTTGGGGACACCCGGACGCGTTTGTCGAACGATTAGCCCCCGTTGCTCCAATGACAGTGAGCTGCAATGCTAACGCTACCGCACTGCGGCGCAGTAGCACCCCTGCGTCAAGTGGCAGCAAACAGCGGAAGGCGGAGCAATGCTTGTCCGCCTATCTACCAAGATCGGGGATGGAGCGTGCCTAATCCCGGAGAAAGTCTTTATCGCTGCAATATGAATGGGGCAACGTGGCGAAGTGTAACTTCAAAAGGCGAAGTTTGGGAGTCTCATGATTTTCGGCAAGGCTGGAATTCAATGGGCATTCTACTGACCTACTACACAATTACTATTATTCTTACTAAACTCCCACCAACTGTTTACTGGAAGTACGTAAAGGCAGTGAGAAGGGGCTGAACGGAAGTCTGTGAATTCCCACAATCCTTATGACGGAGCGTTCAGCCTAACGCTGATCACTGCATTTCAAGTAAATGAGAAAGGTTAAATTCAAAAAAAAATAAACAGAAACAGCACAGCAAATTTCGAATGACTGACCTCAAATAGCTCACGAGATTCTCCAAACTCCAACTAGGAATCCCATGCCTATGAATAGCCCATCCAGCGGTGACCGATCCGCTCATGATAATCGCTTGTTGGGCCAGCCCTGGAATCAAACTATGAAGGATGCACATCCAAGGAAACAATGACAAGTCGAACTTGTCTTTGCCAACCTTCAGTTCTGGGACTAAGTGCTAGTAGGCTGCATGCAGCACCACCGGCCGACTCGCCCATCAACGTGACCCGAGAAGGATCGCCTCCGAATTGCTTTATGTTCGACTGAATCCACTGGAGAGCCATCACCTGGTCCCAAATACCAATATTTGAATCTACATTGTTGTCGCCAGATCGTCTAACAATGAAACCTGAAATAGGTCAAGTAGATTGTGTTGAGAAACGCTAAAAAGTATGGGATCGAAAACGATTGTGGTCACTAAACTCGAAGTGCACTGCACAATGTGACCTTTATTCAGAATCGTAAACGCATTCGAGATCGCAGTGCATGCTGTAGCTAACAAGGAACGCTCATGTTCGTGTTTATTTTTCATCTCCAATATAAACGTTTATCAATAAAATAAGTCGATTCAGAAGGAGTCATTAGTGCAGTTCCGGTTTTATAAATGGATTTGAGGTGAAGTGCCCCTCGAGCGACGCGCTAACCCTGGCCCGGCCTCAGCAATTAACAAAACGAGATATTTGCGTTGGTGAAAAAAAATGCAAAAGTGATACATTTTATAACAAGGAGACCAAAGGTTCATAGTATCCCCGTTTCTGCTTCGCTCGTGTTTTTTATTCGGTAGGTAAAACTTACATGGTCGAGACGGAGTTTGATCTAAAGTCGTGTGTTAAAGGCACGAACCACGTTGCTTTTCTGAAGATATTCCTGTCGTGGATGCACATACTAGGTCAGAGCTCTGGCGCTTTCTCGCTTTAAGACGCGTGACTAAGACGCTGAGGACTCAATACGTGGGCCTTTAGATGCTCCGTGATTCGGAGCAAACCCGACATTGCGATTCTCGCTTATGCGTATGCGCTTTGGTGTGGAATTGGTGAAGTTCTGGGCGTAGTTGTTGTTAAAGGATAAAGGATAAAGCATTTGCCGTTGATCAATCCCTTTTTGGGATGCGGCACGCATTCTATTTGTACATTCGTAGTGGCGTTTGAATGCGATGTGGCCTATACAATGACTTGCGGGGCCAGCCGATGTACAAGTCAGTGTTTTTATCCTCCCAGACAAGTCTGGTACCAATTAACCGACCCCGGAGGGATGGAAGGCTTGGTTGGCCCGGGCGACTCACGACCCAGGATTTGATCCCCGGACCGCTCGCGTGGTAAGCGTGCCACTTGCCACTACACCACTTCCGCCCTTGTTGTTGTTATTATTATCATTATGATGACATTAAGGTAGCTATGGAAAAGTTTCATTCAGTCTTAGGTTTCCGACAAAGATTCCTCTTCATGAAATAAAGGTCGTTCGTAGTTCTTGATTTGTAGTCTACGCGGTCAAACGCTCTGTTATACTTCTCAAGTAATACAGGTAGACTAGAGATGACAGAAACAGACAGTTTTGCTACTCCACCAACGCCGAGAATCCACTCAATCCCTCGAATGGATAGGAAAAGTGAGACGGGCCGATTTTATTTTTATAGATTTATATTTTATATATTATTATAGATTTTAAGAAGAACAACTCGAAATCTATGATTGGTTTTTGTCGTATGAGAGTTTCCTGATTCATTTTCGATCAAAGTCTTTTTAATAAAGCAAGATGCACAGATGATGAAATATTTTGATCCACTCTGTCATTGTTAATCGTTAGCAACGAGGGCCGCGGAAGTTCAAGGAGACCAAAGTTTAGGATTAGAGGAAAGTTCCGTAGTAGAAAAGCACACAAAATTGTAAACAGAGAATGCCGATATGAAGTGGGAAGTAATGCTTCTTAGTGATCTGTTTGCTTTCTGGACACCACTTCGATTGACCTACGATTTTGAGAGACGAGAGATGGTTCGAAAGCAACTATTGGACAGGTCATCGCTAGTGATGGTTACTGTATTAGATGCGGGCGTCACTACAACTAGCAAGGATGGGTAATACTGGAGGAAAGACACCATTTGTTCACTTCCTGTGCCAGAAATCCGAATCTTCGTTCCCATGTTACGTTCCTTCCATTGCCCAACAGGGCACTTGCGGTCAGGGGCAGAGCTGTCATACAGTACCGCAGCTCTATTGCAAATAATTGTTCCATCTGCCAGCAAGTTCTACAACTAACTTATGTAGAATTTAATGCACACTCGACCGGGAGGATAAGGCAAGCTCCCAGGTCGCAACTAGGCTTTCTGAAAGCCTTTATCGCTTCATCCAGTTGCATCGGATTTCCTCCTTCGTTTCAGTTCTTCCTTGCTTCGTCCTTCAAAAGATGGATAAGTCTTATGCTTCAGAATGTACAGTCTCTTCTGTTTAAAATGGATCTGAGACAGCAAAAGGAACAAAAGACTCGGAAACAGTCCCCAAAAGTGAGGTATCAACATCCAAAGCTATAGGCCTACGAGAGCATTCAGGTAGAAACACATGATGGACAGAACTACAGTACTGCTGCACATCTAACTTCTACTTGGACTTGCACGTCTCAGAGTCTGAGACGATTTGTGAGAGCATGATTCAACAAATCTAGTGGTAGGATAGTTTCGGGCACGTGGTAACTTTCGCCAAAGCTGGTTGCCCTCTGTAGCCTGTACGCGCACATTTTCGTAAGTCGGAGAAAAAAGTGAGTGTTCACAAAAGACTTGGCTGCTTTTGGATAGCAGTCGAACCGTAAGGCCAAGTAGGTGAGCCGAATTCTTAAGGGTGCCCAACATGAGAAAATTAACAGTTTTTTTGAATTCCTGAGACAAACTCCTCATTTATCCATCTTCAGCTTCATTCTGAGGGCGTAGACTGTCCCATCAATCTTTCAAAAAATGATGAACGAAGAAAAATTGGTGACTATCAACAAAAACTATTTTGACGGATCACGAAGATCTCGCACTTAACAGGCGAGCATCCGTGATGAAAATTCCACAAACTCTCTATACCTTTAGTCTGGAGTACGAATTAAACAGCCCCTACCGAGTGGTCCGAGGCGATAGTTGATGGTGACGAATGTGATCCCTTTGAAGATAATGTTCCTGGCTACTGTCTGAAAATATGCGGGATCGATAAAACGAAGTCGAGAAAGTTATTCGATCACCCTTTCCTTGACTACATTCGGATACTTTACTGATCCAGAATGAGGATTAAAGCCTTTACAAATGATCGACGTTATCAGAGTGGTTTTACTCAATTTCTGCCCGTTATTTGTTTTCGTTCCACACCATGTAAACACCAATACACATAACACCTCAAAAACCTAGGCCTCAATCCAGAAAGCAATCAAATGTACGAAATTGTGCTGAATTCTATGCCCCTATCCTCCGACTTGACCCTTCTTTGTCACCCACCTCCATGTCGATCCCAGTATCAGCTGAACCAGCTAAGAAAGGAACCGCCGTGAATCCAGACGATGATCGGGAAAGTCTTTGATTCGTCCTCGTGATCCTACAATTGGATACTTGATTTTCAACGTACAAGCTGACCGCTGGAAAAAGCGAGTCACTCACGTAAGGGCTGAAAACATTCAAATAGAGACAGTCCTCGCTCTGACGTTTCATGTTCTCAGCAGAAAACTTATCATAACGGTGGAAATCCATGAACTGTATGCACGGAGGGCCATACTCGACCGCCGACAGCTCCTGATGCCATCGGGCCTTCTTCACTGGCTTCTGCAATTAATCACGTTTGGAGACCTGACTAGTTTTTCTGTTAAGTTCCTTTTTCTCTTAAGTTTCCCTCCTATGACAAGTTGGTAAATGTGCCTCCCTCAGTGCAACATTCCAGCAGAAGTCGTGCTGAAGAATCTATTCATTGGGTGGTATAGAGTAGCCTACGTGTAGCCAGATGTGCCGTTGTCGCTGCTCGAAAGTACGCGACAACGGTGTTAGGGTGTCGCAAAGCTGGCCTGCGGCCACTAATCTTGGCTTATGGACGAGTTACCTGGCGCACATTCCCATGACACGCAACGTGACATCACTCAAAGTCTATAAAGCGCAGGTTTGTGATCTGCATGGTCCTAGCAGGCACAGTGACTGCGTCAACCATCACAGGCGTCGCTCACTATTATCCGTATCATACTTTTCAGGGCGCTGTCATAATTTCAGCGTTATGCGCTCCAATTGCAATTACTGGCAAATAGCCAACTATTGCTGGCTATTTGCCAGCAATTGCAATTGGAGCGCATTTACTGCGGGCAAGTTCAGACAACTCGTCCAACACACGTCTTCCCTCTGGGGTTGTTGCCTTTATTAAACGAGTTGTTTCAGTAAATTCTTCAATTTATTTACCATGCGATATTCTGATCAAAATGAAAACAAGATCGAGTAGATTGACAATGAACAAAAAAGAAAAGCTAGAAAATCGCCCAAAAATTAAAATAAGTCTCTCGGATGGTTGAAGAATGGATTGGATCTTACGAAACAAGCAGAATCAGAGAGACTCTAGACGTCGAGGCGAGAGAACAGGCTCACATGACGAGATAATGGCAGACGAGTGAGAGCGCAGAAAATCCAGCGCTTGGAACACTGAATCGGTTGCAAGAGGAGCCACATTCACCCGCGGTCAGGACAAGGCCCTGGCGCCCTTCTCGCTCATTTTTGAGGCACACTGAACATAGTGAAATAGATTGCCTTCATTGTGGTATGCGTTGCAAGATATCACGTTTGGGCGGTAGGCGGAAACAAAGCGCCAGCTTTCCGAAGCTTCCAACTCTTGAAAAGGCCAAGAAAAACAGACATATTTGCACGGTAAAAGCATTTCTGTTCTGAAAACCTAGGGTTTGGCTCATCAAAAGGCAATATTTGGAACAGAATCAATTTTGTAATATATTGGAGAATTCGGCATACGCTCTATCATAAAAAAACTGAAGAAAGGGAAAAGGAGAACCAGAACTATCAAAGGATACTTCCAGGAAAGGCATTCAACTTCCCATGGAACTTTGAGATGAGACCCAGATATATCGATAGAGCTTCAAACGCTGATTACAAATATGGAAACTAAAACTGCAAAATGAACCTGCCAAGGAAGTTGTGAGCAGTCAAAGTTGGCTGGAAGTAAAGCATTACACTAGCCTCCGGGCTTTCAGAGTCGCCGCGGAGCAGTGGTGGTGCCCTCGCTCTTCACCCTGGAGGTCATAAGCTCTCCTCCCGTTGGAGCGCAAATTTCCGAGAGCACTACCACTACTCCACGGCGACTTTGAAAGCCCGGAGGCTAGTGTAATGCTTTACTTCCAGCCAACTTTGACTGCTCACAACTTCCTTGGCAGGTTCATTTTGCAGTTTTAGTTTCCATATTTGTAATCAGCGTTTGAAGCTCTATCGATATATCTGGGTCTCAATTCAAAGTTCCATGGGAAGTTGAATGCCTTTCCTGGTCAGTGTGGAAATCTTTATGCAGCTGCGGATGGTTTTACTATTTGGTACAGAATCGGTTTTCACAGATTTTCCACGTCGGTTTTCTTCTAGTCCTTCTTTTGATGGCAACTTGGCAGTTACGAAGTCGTTATTTGCAAGATCACCCACTTTCTACCATTTTTTTTTGAAAATCCGAGTTGTGCTAACTTTCGCTGGGCCTTTGGAGTGTTCATAATAACGGAAGAAGCCCTGCGGACCATGTGCATTAATTTAGTAATCCTCCAATTACATACTTTTCGAAATATCGATTGGCGAGCGACTTCATATTCAATCAGATGTTCGATTTCCTTTGAGGCTCCGATGTAAGCACATTTATCGCAGTGCATATGCAGTTTAATGGGGCACTAGATGTGATAATCAATCAAAATGACACTATGATATCGGGCGGAGGTCGAAGTTTCTGAGAAAATAATAACTGAGAGAACGTCCAAGCAAGAATGGATACCAGGTGCTAGAACGAGAGATGAATTTCACCACTCAGTTCCTGTGTCA